TGGGTGGGTGGGGATAAAAAAAAACCTAACACAGTGGTGTATTAAGCCAACTGTACAAACTACAGAATTACAAGATGAAACTTCTTGTTGTTAGAGTCTTTACTAACTTTGTCTTGCATCAGAGAAAGAGGATGTAGAACCAAAATAAAGAACTGAAACAAAGGCAGTAAGAGTACACCAAAGAGAGAAGTTAGTATTGCAAGCTGGAATGGGTGTTAAGCTACAGCTTCTTCATAGCTGGTCTAATTCCTCCATCAAAGTGTTGTGTAAGATAATGAAACCAATGTAGAGTTGATTAATCCCAGGACAAACATTAAAAAACCCAGACAAATGTAATTTGTGAACAACCAGCCTTGAACTGGGAACAAAGGCACTAATATTTTATCCAGAGGTGGGAATTGCCATAATTAGCATAAAGAATGCTGGCAGCCCCGACTGAACTCAAGTGTAAGGGAATCCCTGGCTGCTCCTAGAGAAAGACACATCCCTAAGTTACCAAACCCCTTTAAAATTAGCCTATTTTGGTTGGGTTTTTTGTTTTTTTGGGTTTTTTTTAATAGCAGATAAATACACATTAATTCCAATGAAAGTTGTAAACATATGGTCCTGTAGGGAATCATGCCTATGAGGCTAGGGGTAAATGTCTATAGACTGAGAATAAACTAGCATAGTACTAAAAACTCTGCCAAAAAAAAAAAAAAAAACCAAACAAAACATGGTAATTCTTTAAGAGTAGACTGATGGACTTCACTTCAAGGTTATTAGTTTGTTTACTGTTCACAACTTAAATCCACCCCTGAATTTATTTTTTTCAGTACATTTTATGAAAGTGGGGCTGGAAGAATATAAATACATTTCATCTTCCTACAGGCTGTGAACTTAGTCCACAGCATATTATGAAAAACATAGATATTATACTTGAGTTGCAGAAGGATTTACTTGAGACTTTTGCTATATAAGAAAAAATCATATAAGGATAACTGGAATTCACTATAGAAGAATATTTAATATACAAGCATTATTTTCATATTGTACAAGTATGTGCTTAAATCCGTAACTAGTTCACCTATGAAGTTTCTGTAAATGAAGTTTCCTGCTTGTTTTTGCTTTTCAAAGTTCCAGTGGTTGTGGGTTTTATTTTGACACACCAACAGTGAGTAAATCTTATATCCTTGTATAACAGGCACTGTGAATACAACATTAAAATTATATTAAATTAATACTTGTTAAGCATAAGTCTTTACAAGATTGGAGACTTTTAGATTCTGTGGCTACAGGCACCTGGATGCCATACATAAATCTAAAAATCTAAAAATTAATTGTAAATATAAATAATCACCAACAAAACTGTTTTCTGTCCATAAAGACAAAAGTAATCAAAGGTAGTTAAAAAAAGCTGAATTGCTTTCCTTCATGGTATTTCTTCACACTATATGAGCACACAAATTCATCAAGGATAATATTTCTGCTCAACTTCCAAGTGGAAGCCAACATTTCTCTTCTGTATAGCAATTGCCAGGTAACTGAAAGGAGGTCATGCACCATCAGAACATTGTGCATAATGGGATAAGCCTATTAAACTGTCCAATCATATCCTAACACCCACCTAAATAAAATACAATATAAATGATGGCATAGCAACAGCAGCTTCCAAACAAAAGGAAAAGCTTAAAATTCTCACACAATCACTGGTAAGTCATTTTCAAATGTATTCGTGGAAATGAAGAGGAGGGAGGATTAATCATGACATCTGAAATGCGCAAAAACACAGAGACAGCAGCAGGCAGGATTTGTAACGGTAGCTCAACTCTTATTCTTTACTCATGATCAGTAGTAACAGAAAGCCTTTTGTATACAAAGATAATCAGTAACTAATGTAGCTGGCATGCATTCCTACAGCATAAGAAGTAGGCAGATGTGCTGTAGTAACAGTTATTCGAATTTTGTTTATGAAATGTCTGTAACGATATATAAATAGCATCTGGAGATACAATGTCATTGGATAAGAATGTAGTACTTCAGCCAGACCTCACTTAAGTCAGAGGACTGCAACCAGTTAGTATCATGCCCTTAATAAGGTATTAAATAAGGTACAGATTTACATGAAACAAATCACAAATAAAGATTTAGACTGTTTTATATAATAGCAGTAGAAATTCATCATTATACATAATCCAGAGGGAAAAGCACAGAGGCTTATAATGCTACTGAAGCTCAATGTAGGTGCCCACATTCAAACATAATCCAAAACTGCTCAACTGCTCCCCAACTGTGTAGCAACTCGAACTCTGAAAGCACCTTGGGTGGAAACTTAAAACTTCCTGTTTGTCTCATGGTACTTCAGAGGGTGAGTTCACAGTCACAGAAGCCCCAGGTTCTGCCCTCACCCATGGCCAGGCACATTTGGCCAAAAGTTGTACTTCTCTACAATCCTATCCCAACTGGGATCAAGTGAGTTGATGCTTCTCCACAGCCTACAAGAGAGGCTTCATTGCCTACACGTTCTCATAGTGTGCCTCATACAAGCCTGTATATTCAGGTTCTGTATGAAAGGCAGTGGTGGGCTTTTCTTTGCATTTTTTTAAAGCGTGACTGGACAAGGAGATAACTGGTATTCTTTTGTAGATGCTATTTGCAGGATGTGGAGAGCCTGAGCTGATTTTCCTCCTCAGTCCAAAGAAGTTAGTGTGATGGTAGTATGCCTTAGTTAATAGGCTACTGTAAAGAGAAACTAGCCTGAGAAGGAAAAAAGAACAGAGATTTACTCTTTCAGAAAATCAGAAATTATTAGGAAGTCTGGTGCTCAGGGCTTTCACCTGAATACTGGCATTCCAGTCCATGGAGCACCAGGAAGTGTTTACTTTTTAGGGACTGGAGCATATGATCCCTGTTCTGGTTCTCATTTTCACAAATGAAAGTCCCGTCCCGTCCCCCCCTCCCCCCCCCCCATATAAGTAACAGTTTCATCAGGAAGCAGAGAGAAGGAATGCTGTCCAGTGTAGCCTGGAGGCTGGTGATTAGGTACCTTTGATGGGAGGCAGGCTGGACTGCTCTCAGGCTGAGTAGAAAACAAATGGGTCTTCCTGCAGCCTGGATAAACAAACATAAAAGATGGAGTGACCTTTTTGTTCTTTAAATAAAGCACCTAAATACCTATCTTCAGGAAAGTGTGGATGTTGAATCATGAGAATGAGAGATCACATCTTGCAGACCTGATAGGTTGTAAAATGAGAAAGAGTAGGTGACTTTACACATAATCCCATTTTCTACATTTCCGTATCACCTTACATAGCTCATGAGCTACGTAGCATTATAATACCCTTCTACTGCAAGGACAGACCATAAAAACCAGTTGCAGCTTTACCATATGGCTATTCAGAAGCACTCTTGTCCCATGAGCATTGTTTTTCTCCCTTACCACCAGTTACACCAAAGTGTGTTCATATCTAAATGCTCTTTGTTTCATCTTATACAGCTTTAAATTCTTTCTTGTGCATTGTTTCTAAACACTCTCTGCAAACAGTTTGATTTCTGTCATAGCACTATTTTAAGTCTGTATTACCAGCACTGAAATGAATGGTCATTTATATGTACACTGCTGAACTCGGTGCAGTTTGCTCCAGATGCTTACCATGACCTGTGTGATTCTACACTCTATCTCATTAGTAATATGTTGTTCTTATGACATTTTCATCTGTTGTTGAGCTGGTGACAGACATCAGACTAATACCTTCTACAACCGTTTGAAAGATCTTGTATTTTTATTACTTGGATTTTTAAATTAGTTTTTAATAAAAACCCAAAATATTCCCAAGTGAAGTTATCACAAAACGTTGCAAATGTTGTACTAAAATTTCCTTTCTTTTTGAGGCACTGAGATACTATATTTTTACCACACTTTACCATAAGCATTGTAGAAATCAGCTGGATTAGACTGATGAGTGACTGTTCCTGAATAGTTTTTCAAGGTGCTTGTCAAATATGAACAGGTTTGTTTTGTCTCCTATTAACTGTAAGAAAATATTTTATGTCTACTTGAATGAAAAAAGGGGACTTTTTTAAAAATTAAAGGAAATGGAACTATTAAACCAAGTAAGTGCAGTTCTTATCCAAGGCATTTCACTTTGCTTATAAAATATTGTATCAGACCATGAGTAATTTGACAAAAAAAACTCTGCTAGGCAAAGAGTTAAAACATGACCCAGAGATAACAGGAAAAATAATAGTGGGCCCCGTGAATGAGTTCAAGCACGGTCTGATTTCTTTCCCAGCTCTCAAAGAGGAAAAGGAAGAAAGGATTTGTATTTGTGATGCTCTAGTATTGATTTCTGTTGTTCTTTGGGATTTTCCAAGCAGCAAGTAATAGTCTTGTAGGATCCTGTGTTTCATTATCACCTTCTGAAAGGCAACAGTGAAGCGGTAAAAGAAGTCTTCCTAAAGCACTGGTTGGTAATTTGGGAATGCATGAGCCTCGTCTGAAGTGCTGAAGCTGTCTGGATGGGGATTGCAGTTCACCATCTTCTAGAACATGATTACCAGAGGCATGCAATACTCAGGCAGCAGGCTTAAATGAGCAAAAGGACGCAATTGTCTCAGATACTAAGGTTGGCAGGTGGTAACAAGTAAGAGTGTTGACCTTAGCTGTGATAGTTTAAAAACATAAGAAGGCATGGTTTGCAGAGAGGTGAAAAACATATTCCCAGTGAATGTAAAGGATGTCACTGAAAAACAAGAGGCACTCATACCTATTCCCATGTCTGAAGGAGAAGCAGCAAACCATAAACAGAGTACAGGTTGAGAACAAATGCTCTGAGGGAACTGCTGCTTTCATATTTCAATTCACATATCAACAATCCTATGAAAGTACACCTAGCAAGCAAAAGCCATGTAGATGCAACCACTATACACTTT